TTCCCTATATAACCTTACTTCTCCTGTATCTTTAGAGCATCATGCTTATAACTGTTAGTAAATGCCCGTCATTCACATATGAGAGGAGACAGGTCTAAGAGAATTTTTTTTTAATGTTCAATTATGAGCTGAGGCAAAGAAAAGACATGAAGGTCAGTGTTTCCACTTTGGTAATCTTGTTTATCCTCATTTGGAGCTCAGTTGTCAGTCACAGCCGGGATGTGAAGGCTGACTGAGTCTTGGGACCAGGCAGGGTCAACGAAGAATGGAATTAAAACCTTCCAGGGTATTTTTTATGAATCAGTCCTATTACCCTACTCCCATACATACTGTTTCTCCTACACTTTGAAAAACAAAAAAACCAACATTTCACTTTACCATGAGAAAATTATCCTCTAATCCTGGCAAAAACAACTTGAGGAGACAAGTGGAAGAAACTTGGTGGAAGTACAGAGATCAAGTCAGATTGCTACATGGCAAGTTGTACAAAAAGTGAGAGTAGTGGTGTCTTTCATAGACTGACATGTTGTAGACCTGTTTTTTTCCTGTACAATTAGCTTCTGAAATAATTTATCTTATTTTAGGCAAAATCATGATTTTTCATTGTGCAAAAATATTATATAAGAAATTCATCCAAAGTCTAAAAGAAAATACAAGAAGAACTCGACAGGTGGTTCGTAGATATGGATATCAACTAAAACCTGCAAAACCCCGAATCTCATCAGTCAAACAAAATCCCCTCCACCACAGAGGTTTTTTTATCAAAAACTCTGATGAACGTGCACAAATTTACTTGCTCCTGGTGTCGATGCAACATGTGATATTCCATACATCTTGAAAAGGACTGTTTCATACACCCTGGGATAAGAGGTAATACAGATTATCTGTAAAAGAGTTTAAAAAGAAACAGAAATATGTTTTATTTTGTCTTGTTTGAAAATTAGGATAAGATAGTATCATAAATATATATCATATTATTAGTTATAATACAGTCTCGCTTAGACAAAAGTTATTGATTCTAAAGCAAATTTGTTTGAAAAGGGATGCAGAAGTATACCTCAGCATCAATTATACTTACTACAACTCTTTAATAGTCTGAGAGTGAAACTTTCTAGCAACTGAAACCCATAACAGAGTTGTATTGCAAGTGATTTTCTCAGTTAGGATAATATAAAGTAGCAACCACTAAAAAAGAATAACTTTTAAGAATAGTAGTTTACATACGGGTAGTGTTTTCATTAGAAAGCGTTGACACATACTGATCAAAGTGGCAGAACAAACCACAGTCCTTCCATTACTGATTTGAATTGTCTCATAAATTTGCAAGGTATGTCTCTGCAGGACTCCTGTTTATCTGCCACCCTCCGCAGATGTAAAATTTAAGGTGAAATATAGTATATACACATACTTATAACAGAAAGTGAGAAATATACATATGCAAATATATTGCTGGGGAGGCGATGACTTTCTCTCTTTTGAAGAACAGTTAATAAGCAGTTGTAATTTGCTGACAAACTATTTTAAGTAATGATAATATCAAGCTTCTGTAAACAGTCATAGAACAGGCAGTCCAATGGATTTTTTTGCTACCCTTGATCATGAAATTTTCTGTCTCATGCGTTAATGAAGAGGGTTCCTGAAAATCATAATTCAGTCAATGCTGGAGAAGGCATGGAAACATCATGTTGTAGACAATGCTGCACAGTGTTCTGCTTTCATTTAATATTCAGTTCCGTTTCTGGGCTAGTAATAGCATGAGAAGCTATAGTAACAATATAAGCAAGCCAAAACAAAGCATCTCAACTACCACTGTACAATGAAGCAGTAGTATTGTATGTGTGATCCACAAAATGAGCATCAATACAGAACCTTTAAACTATAACATGAGAAAAGGCCAGCAGCTTTAAGAAATCTCACTAAAAGTGAATCTGAGGTGAAGGCGGCAATATTTTATGTCAAGAATTCAAATAAAAGTTTAAGGCAACAATCCCCGTTGGATTTCAAAACACTCAAAAGCCCATGTCGAAAAAATCACTGTCCAAAACAGTCAGTTTTAATTACCTTTCCCTCCAAAAATCAAATTAATCCTTAAGCCAATGATGCCCTCAATTGGTAGCCAGCAATCCCCTGTCCATGTTTACATTCTAAATATTTACATTAGTATGTACCAAAATATAGTGCTAGCTATTAAAATAGCTGAAGCCCAGGAAACGTTTTATTCTATTGTACCTACCAAACACAAGTGTCTACAAAGATAGTTTTATTTGTTCACACATTTCAGTTATTTTTGAAGAGCAGTCTAGTCTTTTCTCCCTGCAGGTAATGATAACAACATTCACAAAAATACAAAACTTCCTGAAGAGCAGTACAGAAATGAATCCAAAGCTCAGTTATTCCTCAGCTGACAAATATATTAAGAGATAAATATGTGTAAAATCTTCCAAACCTGGAAAATCCATTTCACTGTTAACACGTGTATGCAAAAAAGTTTCTCCTCATCAACGCGAGAGCCTCTGAGACGTTAGGTTGGAGGGTGCTCCTTCCGCAGCTTCCTGGAAGAGATTAGCCCTGGGTCTTGGGAAAGGCAGGTCTATGAAGTCCCCTGCTTCCTTTTGAGAGCAGCCCGTGCAATCAGCGGCACAGCGGCAGAATGAGGTCATGCTTCCTGTACAGTAGCCTCACATCAGAAGCATTCATTTTGAAGAGCAAACCGAAGATTAAGATTAGCCCAATGAACGCTCTTGCAGGCTGTTGCAAAAGAGAAGATACACAATAAATAACATTTCGCTCCAATTATGATACGGAGGACAAAGACAGGACCTTTTCTCGTAAAGAAAAGTGACACAGATTTTTGTTTCAGCTCTACTTTTCTACCTCACTCAGAAAACTTCAAAGTGGTGTATCCAAATCACTCCATTTGTTGGGCCTGACAGGCTTTGATGTAGGAAAACAATCCAGCTGCCAAAAAACCCGTGTATAGTAACAACATTTTGCAAAAGCACTATTATACAGGAGATGCATTTGGTGAGAGTTCAGAGTTGTTTTAAGTTTCACAGTCAAAAACATTATTGCAAATATATATCATGCAATGTTAAGATAAATTCCTTTGAAAGGAGAAAGGAATAAAGCCATTTGTAAACATATTCATTGTTCCACTCTAGATGTTTCATACTGTGTAAGGTATCAATCCATCATACCTTAAAGTATACAAAAATAAAGTCAAATCCACGTAAGAGAAATGGAGCCTGAATAAGATGTCCTGGCAATCAAAATGATTTGGCTGTAGAACTATTACACACAAAAGTAATATAAATCAGCTGCTTGACACTGAAGAATTATACAACCTTAGGGAGCAAAACTTCATCTCCAGACAAATAGATAAAATATACTAGTAGGTATCTCCCCTGATGTATCTATGTATCACTGACAAAAAGAAAGCATAAATCTAGTAAAATATGATTGATTTGATTTAATGATAGCTTTTTTTTTTCCCTGGAGAAGGAAAAATACTTACACTGATAACAAAGGAATGTAAAAGTCTCACCTCACAGAAAAGGAAACAAAAACAGGAATTAAGCAATTAGGATCTTGCAAAAGAGCTTCTGTTTGGGAGCTAAACTAAAAAGAACATTTTAACGTCCTTTTGCTCAAACGTGAAAACACAGGGCCATGTTCATTCTTCACGTCACTTCTTTTAATTTAGTGGAATTATGCCAATGAGGAAATTTAGTCCAACGCTATTTCCATGGATGCACGGGCTTCATCACAGTAGGATTTCCCAGGCCACCCTGTCTCTCTACAGCCAATGGACATAAATTCCCAATGGTCTTCAAAACTAGGTCACCTACTGAAGAATTTCTGTACATACATTGATTTACAGCACAGTTATTGGGAGTATTTTTGGTTTCTTTTCATATTCTTCTCAACAGGAAGCAGGTAATTCTGAGCTTGGGCTGCTTTTTTGAAGGACATCGACCTTTCATGTTTGTCTATATAGTTAAAATACATTGTGTCTATGTCATATTTAGACTTAAAGGTGTTTTTTAATCGCTACCATTCATATCTGAAACTCACTGTTCCACAAGCTTTTGATGCATAAACTTTGTGCATTAGTGAACATTTTATAGGTAGGTGCTAGCCTGTAGTTTATATATACACATAAAGGTTTATATACAACTTTTTGTGTTACCTGTTGCTCCTCAAACTGCCCACCCCACCCCAAGCCCCATCTCAACCGTCGGATTTCAAATTCTAGGAAATGAATACACCAACAAGCTTGCTCTGCAGTAGGTTTATGCCTGTTGCATACATTACAAGTTCAACCCACAAAAGGAAGGAAATGAGAAATTACAATACTAAATACCACATATCTTTCTACTCTTCTCGCAGGCTTACTCTACTTTCGACAACACTACAAATAAAGGAGAAAGCATCTTGCCAGTGGAAAACATATTGTGCTGGGTCTGGCAGTCCAAGAGATGTAAGGCTGGGGCAGCTCCGTGTCCCAGGTCCCACCAGCATCAAGTCTGAGCGTGTGTACCTGGTAGGCACACGCACACAGAGCACATGTGTACACCATATATATACATACATACACAGCTGGCAGCACAGATAACAAAGACAGACATACAGAGCACTCACACAGACAGCACCAATGGCCTCATCCTTCTCATCTCTCTGGCTGAACAGGATGGAGGTCCACTAGTGAGAATATATAGATATATACACATCTGTACAAGCTGGATCCCTCCAGCAGCTGGGCTCAGACACTCAGCCTGCCCAGTAGCTGCCCCTAGATCCCAGTCTCCCCAGTTGCTGGCACCTGGACATATGAGCCCGCAAAGCCACAGCTCTACTCCAGTTGCTGGTACAGACCATCACACACACACATACAGCTGGCTGGGACTCCCCTGGTCCTCAGCAGCCCACTCCCTATAGCATCACCCTTAGAGACACCCCTGGCCATAATGTGTCTCATGCCCCCAGGCAGCAACCCCCCTCAGTCCCCAAGGTGCACTGGTATTGACTCTTCTGGGTGGGTTTCATGTCTGGACACTGGGGCTGAGGCTCCTCTGGGACAGCCCTGGGAAGGACCCAGTCAGGGTGTCCCTTCCTCTGAGTCCTTAATTTGGGTTCCCACCTGCCTTTGTGCCCCTGTGCTCCTCTGGGCTGGTGCAGAAGGGCCTTTGATGTGCTGATGGCTCCTGGGATGGGCCTGGGAGCAGCTGGGGCAGGGTATTATTTGGGCTCCCCCCTCCTGCTGTTGTCTCTCTGTGCTCCTTTGTGGGTGTGCAGATGAGCTTTTAGCACCTATTAGATGATAACTCTGCCATCTCAGCAACCCACTGCAACTCAATGCAGTGCACTATTATGCTAAACACAATTTTCAGAAAGTGTATTTTGCCTGGTAGTGTGAATTGAGTGGCCGTGGTGGAGGGAGTAGAGTGCTTATTGATTGAATGCAATTGAGAGTAATTTGACACTTCCGTAACTCTCTTTGAACCTCCTGGAAAGCTCACAGCCTTTAGCTTTTCCACCAGCTTCAGTGACCATCAAATCAGGCCATTTGTCCCATATCACAGCTCATTGCTAATGCTGTTTATATAGTACTCAACAAGTAAAAAATATTCTGAGATATCTGAAAATTAATTGAAACATTCAAAAAACTAGCAGGGGAAAGGCTGGTCATGAGAACCTCAGAGCAGCCACCCAGCCACATTAGGTCAAACTGAAGGTCTATGAAACTCTCCCGTCCTGCAGTCTTGCTGCGGGGAAAACTAAGACTCATTTTAATTCACCTTTGTGAATGATAACATTTTAAGCTAAGTGCATTCCTTTATGCAGCAGAACCACTTAGCAATGTTTGAGGTACCCTGGTAATTAAAAAAAAAATCTCACAAATGCAGTCATTTTATTTCAATCTTAAGAGAAGGCTGATCCTGCATAAAGTTGGCATTTCATTGCAGTTTACAGAACTGACACATCATACACGATTTTAATAACCTTATTGGGTCAGCTGTATGAACAAAGATTAATTTGCTTTAAAAGAGGAACAAATTCATTTTTAATGCTATCAAATGGAAATCCCACTCCACCCTATCAGAGACTTTCTTAGTTTCAGGCTTGATTTTTTTTTTCCCAAATTCATTATTTTAGCTTAATTGCTCCTGCAATACGGGCAACAAAGGGCATTTCTGTTTTGCATGGTGGAGTACAATGCACAGACCTGTAAAACTTAGAATTAGCTCTGAGCTTGCTGATACATCCACGCTGCTTGGATCTCAACAAGAGTTTACCTGCAGTAATGCTATGTCAGCTACCCCTGTATTATACTACACACACAGTCCAGACAGACAAGAAGTGTTTAGAAAGGAGCTAAATCAAGCAAACCGTGACGCACGATGATACTTCTCTATGCAAAGCCATGACCAGTCTGTGTTGCACCTCCTTGCTCTCTGATTATATGGTGTCAGAAGGAAATTTGGATGGTATACAACTTGATGTAGACATGGGAATATGCCTGAGAAGAATTTTGTACAATGTTACATTCATATATAACAGCAGTGGAAAATCATACATGGGGAAAAGAAGAGAAGTGCTTCCATTAGAATCTGCAACTCCCCCACCTTGCATCCAAAAATACTGCTCCTTTAAAAACTATTTTATCAGAAAAAGAAAACAAAAGGAAGAGACTAATACTCAAATCCATCAGTCAAGGCAGAATTTAGTCAAGGTCCCTAATAGAAATGGTGGGTCCTCATTAGAGTTCTTTGTAAACTTCCTCACAAGAAGATCTGACTGTTACTGAACAAGAAGGTAGGAACACTAAGAAAAGCAACAAACACATCTATGTTAAAAGCTGGCTGCCTTAATTTTATTAAGGATTACAAAAGTTTGTGAATTAGCACTCTGCAGTGTCTGCAGTGACTAGAAGCAGCCAGGACAGAGCCAGCTGTTGGCCAGTTGTGCTCTAGCAGCATCTTATTTGCAGAGAACAGAAACATTAATGCACCGATCGCTGGTCTGAATGGAGGATGAGTGGGAACGGGGCTTGAGGTGGCAGGGGAAGCGCTGCATGAACGGCATGTGTTCATGGTGCCTAGGCTAGCAGGTCATCAAGCTTCCAGCACAAATATACACGCAGCGTCTTAGGACACTCAGACTGAGAGGAAAAGGACAGGGACTAAACCAGGTAGGACGGTATGGGGAGATTGATCACTCTCAGTTCTAAAGGGTATCAAAGGGCATGTCCAAATGCAGCATAATGTGGCCAACCTAGGAAGAATCCATAAGACATGGTGAAGACTCGATTGCCCACATTCCTTGTCTTCCATGTCACCGCAGTTAATGCTGGACAGACCACCTGCATAGCAGCACCTTGGTGGCTGAAAGCTGAACAGGCCACCTAGGTACACGCAGCTTTAGGGTACCACCTAGGTGCTCTAACTAGACACATAAAATCTGAATCTTTGATTGGGAGTTTCCTTGATGAGAGTCCCAAAATGAAAATTAATGTTCCTCTGGAGGCGGTGATGTACTGCTGATCAGTGTACTTGAGACACTGGATGGTTTCTGTGACAGTCCTGATGTGATCTGCATGGACCAATGGTGGAGGGTCTTGTACTGATGTGCAGTCAAGGCTTTTGGCCAACATATAACTCTAAAGGATCATAGTATGCTTTATATATACTGAAAATCTATAGTTGAGAAGGTGTTGTTACTGCTGGTTCCTGAGACAATGGTACTGGCAAAATACTGATGATACTGATGTCATGGTCATTTCTATAATAAATCATACTGATCGATGCATAAATGAAGACAAATAACAATTGACAGTGATACTCTAATAACGTTCTTTAAAAATGCCTGTCTTCCATGCTGTTTTACACAGCACCCTTATCAGTTGTCTCTCTATTTGCATGTAAATAACCACTGTAGCCTGACAGTGACTGAGTCCCTTTCTGCCTGTATGCCAGTATTTAAGCAAAGTTTAAATTTGTGAAGCTTGTACTGAGAGTACGCAGGCCTTTCTGGAACTGTGTGCAATTGTTCCAGCTATGCCTGTGCCATACTTACTTGTCACCTTTCCAGCTGAATTCAAACTGATGTCCTGGACTAATTCAACTGCTAGGGAGAGGAAAAGGCACAGGCAGCCTTGGTATCCAGTGGAGGATCACGATACGCTAGAGGCAGAGTGGTTTTATAGCTTGGATACTATCCAGCATTGCATAAAGATCAAGGATTTGACTGTGGCCTTCAAGTCAATTGAGGACAGAGACCAGAATGGTGACAGTCTTCCAGGAACCTGTCCATGCAATGCCAGCACAGACCCCCGTGGCCAAGTATCAACAAGTGACTCCTCCCATAAACAAATGCTTTGCAAGCATTTTACAGGCAGGGTTGGACACTCAGTGCTGATCTCTTAATCGACAACCACCCTTCAGCCCCTGAGGACACTCCAGTTTTCACAGGACCACAAAGGAGACAGGAAAATATCACATTAGTTTTACAAAGTGATTGATATTGCCTGCTGGCAGATGTGACGCTTTTTTTTTTCATTCTCACTGCTGATAAAATAGTTTTTAAAGGAGCAGTATTTTTGGATGCAAGGTGGGGGAGTTGCAGATTCTAATGGAAGCACTTCTCTTCTTGGGACTCTCTTACTAACGTTGGAACTACCTGTATAAATGCAGATTTCGTTACCCACCTGGCCTTAGCAGGTCTCATTCCTTAGCATCCTCATCTTAACCATAACCCTTACAATATTGCGAGTAGGGAACCTTACTTCTGGTTTATAACTTCATGTCACCTCTCCAGCATGCAGTGAAATACAGTGCTGTGGTTGCAATACCTGTCAGCAAACAGCCATCTCTCCGGGAGAAACTGGAGTTATTGAGTTAAAGGCATTCTGCAAAGAACCAGAGAGCAATTGAGTAAAAAACGTCCAGCTTCAGTGTCTTTCAAAACTGGGAAAGACTGGGGTTGGTGTCTCAAACCCATGGGGAGGGTTACTATTTTGTTTGGTGTCCACGGCAATGACTGTTAGCTACTTTCTTTTCCCACAGAAGGCCACATGCTCACTCAGCCACCTCAGGATTTTTCCCAGCATCTGGAAAATTTAGGGCTTTAAAAGGAAAAGAGAAGTGTTTGGTGAGATAGTGTAAATCTTCACAATTTACAGGAGGAATTTCTGGAGGGGAGGGAGTTTCTGGGATGAAAGAAAAAGAAGGGCAGAGAAACTGAAGAGGAGGACATAGTAACTGATGCCAGACAGGGTGTCAAAATGGAGAAAGGAAGTGGGAGGAAAAGGACAGATGATGACAGAGCAGAGCCAGGCTGTGACCAAGCCACCTACACAGATGGACAGAGTGGGGCAGAGGTGCTGCTGCATGTTTGCTAGGCTGAGACCGTGCAGGCACCATTAAATACAAGCACCAGCAGTCACTTTAAATATGTCTTCCTGCTATAAAAAGGGTAAAAACTAAGATGAAGTTTTATTCTGTTGACTGTCACCTCATGATTGCAATATCTGACATTTAAAGCAGTTCTTTTATGGACTAATCCAATCGCCCACAAGAAAAAATAAATGGCAAAATAAACAAACCGATGTCTGGGTCTCTCACCATAATATCTTTTTTTCCCAGGTGTTTGATCATTCTCCCAGATCTTTCCTGAACTCTTCCAGTTTTTGGATGGCTTTTCTGAACAGTAAGTTATTTTAATAACAACATACCCGTGCCAAGTGCAGAGATAATGTCACCTCTCTACTCCTACTCAGTATTTCCATGTGCATGTGCTTTGCAAAGACTGCATTAGTCTTTTCAGCATCAACAGCACACCATGAGCTCATGCTCAGCTGATTATGAAATCCTCTCTTCCCCCTCCAAGTCTTTGTGAGTCACTGACTGGCAAGATAAAATCTCCTATCCAGTTTGGTTTCCAATTTATGGTCTGTATAATGTTCACAATGCTAAAAACATGCTTCATGACAAGATTAAACACCAAATTTTGTGAGGAGCAGAAGTAATGAAATCTCCTTTCCTGCATCTCTCTGCCTTGTGATGTGCTGGTGTCTGAAGGAGAGTAAGCAGTGAGCCTTTCTATCATGGAGAGGTCAACGCAGTCGCTTTTCCCTGCCCGGTTGAGCATTTTAACAAAACAGGTTGGGATAATGTGATGAGACCTCTGTCTCTCTGTCAAGCTTAAAGTAAGGCAGAAGTTTTGGAAGTAAGCGGAGAAAGGGAAAAGGGAAGGCAGACATGAATGCAGCCATGTAAGCCCTGTTTTCCTAGGAGACGAGACTAAATACTGGAGACATTTTTGTGCTAAAAGAATAAAAAAAGGTCTTGGCCAAAGTTGCTCCTCACTGGCTTTATGGTGGAACATAGTAGGTGAAATGGGGTCCTGGGCCATGGGCAGGGTGGGGGCGGCACCAGGATAGGAAGGTCAGGGCCAGTAAGGGCTGTGGGTGCCCTCAGGGGTACAGCAGGGCAGGGGTGGGTATACCTGAAATGGCAGCAAAGAAATGGGGACACTGGCTGGAGCTCCTTGATTTCCTAACTGTTCTGATAATAGTGCAATGAAATGTTGCTCCGTACTGCTGGACCAGAAGCGGACTTCTGCTGTTCTGAAGGCAGTGTGGCAGAAGTCACACATAGCACCCTGTGTTGGGGGTGTCCCTTCCTCTGAGTCCTTAATTTGGGTTCCCACCTGCCATTGTGCCCCTCTGGGCTTGAGGAAATGGGCCTTTGATGGGCTGATGGCTCCTGGGATGGGCCTGGGAGCTGCCCAGGCAGGGTATTGTTTGGGCTCCCTCTCCTGCTGTTGTCTCTGTGCTCCTTTGTGGGTGTGCAGATGAGCTTTTAGCACATATTACTGAACACCTGGGGCTTGCTGCACCTCTGCAGTCTGCCGTCAGCTCTGCCTCCCCCTCCTGACAGCCTCAGCAGTGAGGTGATGCACAAGGTGGCACACACTGCTCTAAGCCCTTCTCATACCACAGCATAACCCTGCCAGCCTCCAGCAGTCAACAGAGCATGACTCAACCACCCATATGTAACCTGCCCCATCCTTACTACCTCTTTTATCTTTCCCCCATCTCTCTCTCCTTGGACAGAAGCACCTTCACTTTTCTAACAGCATCCTGATGTTGCACGTTCTTTGCCACTTGGAGAGGTCTCATTGCCAACGCAACAACCCTGACCATCCTGTAACAAACCCGCTAAACAAAAGCCTGCATCAAAACTACACTCAGGGTAGTAAGGGCTGGAGATTTCAAATGAATGCAATGGCAGCTTTTTTACTAAAGAGAGAAAAAAAGCTTTGTTTTCCCCTTTTTATTTTTTTTAGTTTGTTCCATTTTTCTTCAAGCCTCCTTCCTCCTTCAGTCTCTCCTGCTTGCTATCACCATCCAGAAAATGGGAACAGGGAAAAATCAAAGGAGGAATAAAAAATCCCATAGCAAATAAACACTCTAAAATATCCCACTGCACAGTCTCCCTATAAAGACTCTTCAAGTGGGAGGCAGCCTCGCAGGGACTAACCAAAGCGAATGGGTTGACCTTGGACAGCAGCCAAACACCCACACAGCCGCTCCCTCACTCCCCCCACAGTGGGATGGGGGAGAGAGTAGGAAGAACAAAAGTGAGAATGTTTGTCGATCCAGATAAGGATGGTTTAATAAGTGAAGGAAAGCAAAAAAAGGCTAAACCAAACAACCCAACCCCAAAAACCCGCAAGCAATGCAAAGGCAATCACTCACCACCCCCCACCAGCAGACCCATGGCCAGCCAGTCTCCCAGCAATGGCCACCTTGGCAGACAAAAGCCCCACCATTCTTCTTCCTCTGCCCCACGTTTTCTTGCTGAGGTGGGTGTTTTATGGCATGGAATATCCCTTTGGCCAATTTGGGTCAACTGTCCTGGCTGTGCCCCCTCCCAGTCTCTTGACCACCCCCAGCCTACTTGCTGCAGGGGCAGAGTGGGAAAAAAAGCAAGCCTTGATGCTGTGCAAGCGCTGTTTGGCAATAGCCAACACACTGGTGTGTTATCAACGCTGTTTTAGCCAGAAAACATGGCACCATACGGACAGCTATGAAGAAAGTTAACTCCATTCCAGCCAGACCCATATCCACCATATCCACCCCTCGTTCCATACCGTTTGCACCATACTCAGGTCCTACACTCTCCAATACATCCCCATCAGTCATGCCCCCCCTCCTCGTCCTTTGACATACACACAGACCTCATTCCCTTAGTCTGTGGGACATCCCCCAAATGTCCATAGAAATCCAATCAATTCATTTGGTCCATGACTTGCACTCCACACAGCAGGTTTCCACATCAGATGGTTTCACACAACACAACGGGATCCACTGGTAAACAGAGCATATTGCCTTTCACTTTCTGCTAATTTATTATACTCTTGGGCCTGAGCCACTTCCTCAGGTGATGCTCCAAAATCTCTGCCTCCTGGCCAAACTGTGATCTCTTCCAGGATTCATGGCAGTGGGGGTTCCCCATCTGAGTCTGTTGCACGATCAATTCTACCCACTTACTCCACGTAGCGCCGGTTGCATAAGGTGTAGAGGGGACCCTTCCTATGACCATCTATTGCAGCACAAGCACCTCGGACCCTTGATGCCCCCAGCTCCAGAACCCTAGAGGTCAACCTTGTGTCTCTCCAGGTGTTTTCTGCCAGAGGCTCCAGTTGAGCTCCCCAGCTATGGTGCAGAGCATGTTTCTCACACCCACACCTGGCTGGACAGGCCCAAGGGCTACCACACAAACTGTGTCCTGTCTGTCCTGCTGCTGTTTAGGGACGGTAGTGGGTTGACCTTGGCTGGATGGCAGGTGCCCACCAAGCCGCTCTGTCACTCCCCTCCTCAGCTGGACAGTGGAGAGACAATATAACGAAAGGCTCGTGGGTTGAGATAAGGACAGGGAGAGATCACTCACCAATTACTGTCACGGGCAAAAAGCAGACTCGACTTGGGGAAATTAATTTAATTTATTGCCAATCAAAAGTCAGAGTAGGGTAATGAGAAGTAAAACCAAATCTTAAAACACCTTCCCCCCACCCCTTCCTTCTTCCCGGGCTCAACTTCACTCCCGATTTTCTATAACTCCTCCCCCCAGGCGGTGCAGGGGGGACGGGGAATCCTTCCTCCTCAGGGGGAGGACTCCTCACACTCTTCGCCTGCTCCAGCATGCCGTCCCTCCCATATGAGAGACAGTCCTCCATGAACTTCTCCGATGTGGGTCCTTCCCACGGGCTGCAGGTCTTCACGAACTGCTCCAGTGTGGGTCCCTTCCACGGGGTCACAAGTCCTGCCAACAAACCTGCTCCAGCGTGGGCTCCTCTCGCTCCATGGGTCCACAGGTCCTGCCAGGAGCCTGCTCCAGCGTGGGCTTCCCACGGGGTCACAGCCTCCTTTGGGTGCATCCACCTGCTCCAGTGTGGGGTCCTCCATGGGCTGCAGGTGGATATCTGCTCCACCGTTAACCTCCATGGGCTGCAGGGGGACAGCCTGC